CTGTACTTAATTCTGGAGTAGTCCAGACGCAGCTTCTGACACTACTCTAAGGCTAAAGGTACTGCTCGGCATCAGATGAGAAGCAGCAGGTGCTAGAAACTGGTTGGTTTAAGAAGTGATATGATGGCTTTTTTTAATATAAAGTAAAAACAAATAGTATTTATGGGTGGTTACAACCAAGGTTTTTGAATAACTAAACTGTGTGTTCTAGACACAAGAGAATAAGGAAGGGCTTCCAGACATGACAGCAGCAGAAAGGTCACAACTGGGTTGTGAAAGACAACTGAATTTTTCTGTTTGGGGTTTTTTGGGTTTTTTTTTTTTTTTTTTTAATTTTCTGCAAATGTCTTTGGTATCAAGATGCGAGAAACAGCTCAATTGTTTGTACTTGCCACTACAGCATATCCACGTTAAAGTACGGTATGTAAAGCACTCCACTGCAGTTTGTTTTTTAACACATATGGAAGATTGCAAATATTGAGGCTTATTGTACCCTGAAGCTGCATACCCTGTCATAGGCCTACACAGAAACCACAGTGGAAGATTCCCAGTCCATAAACTGGATTATTTGGAATTCTTCTAACGGTCTATTTACACATGCCAATTTTTCCAATATTTTGGCTCTCCTCAAAGCAAGACTATCCTTATTAAATATATATATGTACAAAAACATGTTTTTCTTTTCTTTCTTTTTTTTAAGAAAGATGGTTTAACTGATAGAAAGCTAACTAAAATTAGCCTTAACAATCTAGTCCTTGGAGGATTATTTTTCTGATCAGTTCAGTTGGTGGCTTACTGCCCAACCTGAAAGTAGTGGGTTTTTTTTGCTGGGTGACAGTCAGAGAACAATATACTATATAACCAAGGGTGTTGCAGTGAAAACGATTTTTAACACTTTAAGGGTGTCATACATCCAAGCAACACAAATGTGGACGAAGTCCAATTGATACAATTGTGTTTCCTTTTCAAGGCCCATGAGAAAATCCTGAGGTAACTAGCTTCTCACAGAACACTGAAAGTTCAGTTTCAACAATTTCTACATTCAATTGTTAAGTAAGTACAGTGAAATGAGCGTAAGGTGAATCGTTCTTTAATTTTTTTCCTCCCGGCACCAATTTCATACCACAATGGAAACAGAGCTGAGTTCTTAGAAAACTTGAAAATAAAGGGAGACAGAGTAACTTTCAGCCACTTGTCTTTAGCAAATCTCCCTTTAAACATATATGTTCATCACAGCAGTTGAAGTTTGCCACCTCTGAAAGGTCACCGGTTCTCCATATTCCCTTTTCAAGGGAAAAATCACAAACACAAGTAAGAGCTTCACAAATTTGTGGTGCTGAAGGGCACTGCCATCCAGCTGCAACTAATTTTAATTGAGCTTCCAACAATAATTTTCTAGTTTATTAAGCTGTAGCTGAGCCAGCTTCTCTAAGCAGCCAATGTCACTGTTACAAGCAAGGCAATTCAGCAGTTTGACATACAGCTTGGCTATCAGTCCTGTACTTATTTTACGAAGTGTTTCCTGCTTTTTAATCCCCAGCCCTGACACTTAATTCCTAGTGCAGCCTTGCCCAAGGCACTAATTTTCTACCTTAGCCTTCCCATGTGTAAAGTGGGCAGTGATGATGGGTAGGGGGTGCACATGCACCTCCTGAGAGCACCAGTGCATCCCCTGACTGGCCATACTCACTGCTGAGGCAACAGGCAGGGGGCTCAGGTGGGAGTGCTGGTGCCCCCCCTGCAAGTGCTGGCCAGGGAGTGGAGTGCCGTGGCACTTCCAGAAGCGGCTACAGTGATCGCTACCCGCCCCCCGGGGTCAGTGAGCGGCTGCAGGGGGACTCCCCCCCACATCGTTGACTTGTTGCACATGCCCCCCTACGACTAAGGCAGCACTAGTCACCCATGAAAGTCGGGATGATTTATACTCATCTCACAGGCATAAAGGCTGTGATGGTCATTGTAACTGGTATTTGTAAAAAGTAGTCTACTGCAGCTGATGGTAAAATATACATGGGTGGAGGTGGGGGGTGGGGAGAAACAGCATATTTTTTAATTTTGAATGAAAACAAACCCTTTTGTATAAACAAAACAGTGTCCCATAGGAAGGCAGAATGGTAACCATGTTACTTCCCTGTGCATCACTGGCCCTATGGGTTATTGAGACTCAAGCAGACCACGAAGAGATCAACATGCTAATTTCACTAGAACAGACACAACGTATTTCAATGGCTGGACATTTTCAGTTCCTCAGTTAATTGGCAATGCTATACAGAACACCAATACAAGTTCCACTTCTGAAATAGGAAGTGCAGAGGAATGGACACAAGCCTTGCCTACACTACATGCTACAATACAGACACTTTTAATATTAATGAATACATTAAATCTACTCCATATCCCACATAACAATCTTAATAGCCCTCCCCAAAATAATCAGGCTATCCTTATGGCAATGTATAATCACATTAGATAGGATCTGGTTACATTTTGGAAAGCAATGCGTTTCACAGGCCTATATAAAATTGTTTAAATCTTATCTGGTCGTAAACCATTGCCCTTAAGGGGATTCTGTTTACCAATAATAGTGAATAGTGAGTATATGGGAAGCAAGGTAATGAGTCATAAAAGCATTTATGCAGCACCTAAAAGAGCAGATTAATGCTGACAAGGTAACTGAAACGTCAAGGAGATTTCAAAGTGAAGCAACTCAGAAATGCAGCGAACAACAGTGTCCCACTTCCATTCACAATATAATGGCTTCAAAGTGCTCTTTACATTAACAAAAAAGGCACACTATGCAAGTTATCTTGGCAGGTATTTGGGGGTGGAGATGGGGGTTGAAGTAATTATAGACCAAAAGCTGTGTGATACCTTTTAAACTGAAAAAGAAAATCTACAAAAACCAAAAGGAGCAGAGTTGACACTATACCTATCATTAAGAACATTTTATATTTCAAGCACCTAGTTTTGCATTTGTATTTATTTGAAATTCGGTGTTTATTTTATGCAAGTAATCTCTCTCTTAAAAATGATTTATAATTAACTTTAAAAAATCCTAAGACATCTGAGAGAGAATTTTCATTGCAGTTGCAACTTTTCAATTCAGGAGATTGGGAGGGAACAACTAACACTGAGAAAAAGGTCAAACTGAAGCAAACACAATCGCTTCATGAGAAGTTAGAACTAAGACAGCTTTTAGCAGAGTGTCAACAAATATATTTGATTCTTTCCAGTGTTTATTTTCCTAGTAATGTCAGGGAGTGCTGTCAGTTAAAGCACAAAGCCAGAAACCTTGCTTACACCTCATATGGCATGCAGGACCACACTGTATGTAAGGATAAAAATGTGAAGACCAGGTATCCTTGCTTGTGTATGCCAACATCAGGGCCTTTTTAACATATACACATACAAAGAAAACATTTAAAACACTTTTCTTTCACATCTGAATGATTTTGTAATTAACATGAATATTAAGGAATTAAACTAACTCTTTCAGGCATCCTTGACCAATTGCATCTGTGCTGCAGGCATAGGTGAATCCAGGATTTAAAAAAGGGACATGTGGGAATAGCAACCAGTGCCATGGCTGACTGCATTCCCCTGCTCCCAGCCACCCTCCCCTGCACCAGGGCAGGTATACCTGACCATGGCATGGGAGCAGGTGCCAGGCACTTTAAAAAAGTCCCTTACATAAGTATCCCTCCCCACCAACTCTCGGCACCACATCCGGTCCCCTCCATACTCAGCAGCACCTCCCATCCCATTCCCCACAAAACCTGCCCTTTCTATGTATGCCTCTGGCCACTGTCACCACTAGCTCAGCCAGCTGGAGCAAGGGCTGCAAGG